ATTAGTGGCTCATCACCTTGCGAGTGTTCCCAAAATTGATAGGAATTTTTGGCTCGTTAAAAGATGAAAAAAAGTATGCGTCGGCCGGGAATCGGTCCTCGTCTCACTCAAAAATATGCGTCGGCCGGGAATCGAACCCGGGCCGCCCGCGTGGCAGGCGAGCATTCTACCACTGAACCACCGACGCTCACTTTATCGCTACTAATCACTCAGATTCAATTTGAAAATTCAGTCTTGAAAAAAATTGATGTTGAAAATTTGCTCTGAAACAGTTCATTGACCTGGATTGTTCTCTACAGGTTCTTCCAGTTCTGCTCTCTTTCTGGCTCGTTCCTCCTCTTCTTTTTGTTGTCTTTCATTCTCCCTTTGACATTCCTCCATAAATTCAGCAAACTCTCCACAGTTTTCTATCAAGGTATCGAACTTGCCGATCTCAGCAATTTTACCATCTAAATTATTGGTCATTGTAAGACAAAATTATTTTGCTACATATTTCTATCCCATCACACATCCATACTGTTCCAAAGTGTTAATAAATGCATGATGTTACGAAGGTTAGCTTGTTTGCATATGCGCTCACAAATGTGCAAATAACTGAGAATCTGTAATTTTTGAATATGAATCTTCTTGACACCAGAATATAAATCTTATTCTCATAGCTCAGTATCTGCTCTATCCGAAGCTATAACAAGAATTCTGAAGTTAGCTAAGCGCACACTAAGACCTCAGACAGGTCATACTTAGCTAGGATGCTTTTAAATTCCCAAAATCATCCATAATTAATCGGCAGCAGATCAACTTAATAAAATTTAGGCAGCTAAGCAAATTTTACTCGCTTCATGTTCTCGAACTACGAATGCCTGAACGAGTGTTTGCACCACAAAGCCCAAAAATGTAACCAATCTCAGTTTTTGCCCTCTAAACTTCTTCGCGTTCGCCAGTTTCCAAGCAACACACTCCTCCTAAATTCAGTCCCCACCCTTGACTTTTCTACCCTCTCTTCATGGACCACTTACAAATTGCAACTTCTTTCGGATTTGTATTTCTGGTCACATGGTATATGATATTCTTTTAGTTCAGCTCCTTGTGTACCGATGGAATGAAAACAAAATTTGTGGTGAATGCTAAATTTTGTGGGGCCTCTATTCACTTAGTGATGTGTAAACAGTGCCGTCCCGAAATTCTATTCCGCGAATCAAAACCCAACCATTCATTACAGCGATTTCATCGGCTTCCTTTATATAGGTCATTCCATGTGTTACCAGGATACGCGTTTTATGCTTCAGCAAACCATGCGGACCGAGAACCTGAAAGAAATAAAGTTATGCCAAATCTAAAATATATGTAAAAAGTTGCTTGGCTGATTTCAAAACGTTCGATGGAAAATCCACTTTTGTGTGCATTATATGAGCCATGCAGGACTGAGTGAACAGAATTGCAATTACATAGTTACAATGGTGTAACCAGGATTTTCTCCTGGGAACATGAGAGGACGCAAAATAGTTTGATCCCAAAAATGTTTAAGTTTTGGGATCGATTCTTCTTTTTTTATTTTCACTTGGTTTCCTCTGCTTTTTTCGTTTACCCCCTTCTCTTTATTTTCACTTCCCTCTCCATTTACCTTCCGTGTTCTCCTTTCCTTGCCTCTACTCTGAGGGGAGAGAGCCCCTCGACTACGCCAACGCTTAGCTAACATTTTAGCAGAGATGGGCAATAGTTATCTATCGCTAACAAATGAAGAAGCGAAATAGATATTCCGCTATTTCGCTAACTAGCGAGGCTGCGAAATAGCCATTTCACCAAGTAGAAGTTTCAAAGCTGTGACCAGTTATCATTGCAACGATGTGACTAGCCTTGTTGAAGATGTGCTTCCCAACATGACTGTCAACTGCAGAGAGTGGATCATCCAGCAAATAAACATCGTAATTCTGATAGACGGCTCTTGCCAGCGAGACTCGCGCTTTCTGTCCACCAGATAGGTTGATTCCCTGCATCAGTCATTCAATAGTTTATAAATTCATCAGATCAAATTTGCTCACGTTTAAAAAACATTGAAGTATATAGTGAAATGAATTCAACCAAAAATAAACCATAATTTTCTGCCCAAACAATTCGTCTCAAATACAAATAATTTGACTCATACAATTTATCTCAAATACATATGCACACACAAACCTTTTCACCAATTTCAGTTGAATCACCCTGTGGCAATATCGCAATATCAGGCCTTAACGCGCACGCATGAACCACACTATTGTAAAATTTCTCATCGAATCTCTTCCCAAATGTGATATTCTCCCGAAGCGTAAGATTGCGAATCCACGGTTGTTGAGGGACGTAAGCTAATCGTCCATGTACGCCAACATACCCACGAAGTTTCTCCATTTCACCTACATATAACAGTAGGTTAACACCATGACTTGCGACTACATCATCATATCACAACATCATCCGAATACCTCACATGAGATGAAAGAAAATACACGTCTAAGAGCAAAATTGTTTGGAAATCGAATTAAAAATCAGAAACAAGGATTACGCGAAAGAAAATTGAAAAACATCCGAAAAAATCAGTCCAGGGCGCCGAATCCACTCTCACGTACCTAGTAGGGCATTCAGAAGGCTGCTTTTACCACATCCCACCTTCCCAACTACAGCTAACAGTCGGCCTGTTGGCACCTTCAAGTTGATTTCAGTCACCATCGAGTTGAGCGCACTCATATCATTTGTTTCCCAAGCAAACGTCGCATTTCGAACTTCGATCGCATTTTTTTCAGCATTTTCTGAATAGAAACATTGAAAACGGTCGATATTTTTTCACATTTGTTACTGAATTACTGAAATCAAAAATTACTGAAATACCCGATAAGTTACTGAAATCAAAAATTTGTGAAATTGAATTGTCTCGTTCAACTGTTCAATGGTTTTTCATAACTCTTTTAAAACATCTACTAATTTCCAGTGAAATTTGTTCATTTGAAAGCTACCATCTTTGCGTTGAGGAGCTCGATCAATAGCCATTTCGTTAAGCTCTTCGGCCACCAAGAATTCTTTTAGACGTTTATTTGCGACAAGAGCCTGAAACTTTTGTTCTTCTCACTTGTTCGTTTTTCACAAAAGATGTTATTTCACTCTTCCTCCTCACTTCTGTTTACTTATCGATTCTCAGAAGATGTACTGACTGAAACTGCAAAATTGTACTATGCTCACTTTAGAGCGGTTGATCTGTCCCCCATCTCCAATCAGTTCAAGGTAATGGTCACAGAAAATGAGACTGACTGACAGTGCGCAGGAATCTTAAGTAAAAATGAGATTTGCAAGGACTATAATGTTTATTTAAAGAATGAGATGTTTCAAAGACTCAGAAAAAATCATAATTGTATGATAGTGGAACACTTGGACACTCGCTTCATAAGCACCTGTTTCAACCCAAAATCTCTTTTATTCTAACGGATCATTGCAGGTTTCAAAGGGACTATAAAGACGAATGAGTGGAATTTGTCTATAAGTTCATATCAAAATGAGATGATCCGGATGGAAATATCATAAAATCCGATAACATTTCAGCACGCATCTCAGCGATAGTCAGTCCACCAATTATTTCATTCAAACAATCGCACTGTGAACTTACTTGTACTGTGAGCTGTATGAGATAAGCGATCATAGTCATTGGTGATCGCAGTTGATTGAAAAGAGTTAAGGAGACAAATGCGATTTGTGGGGTTAGAATGTGCGATGGATCGCTTAGCGTATAGGTGAGAAACGTCAGAAACGCGACCTGAAATATAAAAAGTCAATCATCTTAAGAGATTTCCGGGATTTTTCAGATGATGAATCTGTTTGAATAGCATCATAGTTGAGAAATTAATCATCTCAATTCATGCAATTCAGCAATATGGCCAAACATTACTGAATAAATGAAAAGCTGTTTTTTCCCAATCGT